CTGTGGTATCTCTGTGTGTGTATACCTGGGTGTGTGGGTGGGTCTGTCTGTGGTGTCTCTGTGTGTGTACACCTGGGTGTGTGGGCGGGTCTGTCTGTGGTATCTCTGTGTGTGTATACCTGGGTGTGTGGGCGGGTCTGTCTGTGGTGTCTCTGTGCGTGTATACCTGGGTGTGTGGGCGGGTCTGTCTGTGGTGTCTCTGTGTGTGTATAACTGGGTGTGTGGGTGGGTCTGTATGTGGTGTCTCTGTGCGTGTACACCTGGGTGTGTGGGCGGGTCTGTCTGTGGTATCTCTGTGTGTGTATACCTGGGTGTGTGGGTGGGTCTGTCTGTGGTGTCTCTGTGTGTGTACACCTGGGTGTGTGGGCGGGTCTGTCTGTGGTATCTCTGTGTGTGTATACCTGGGTGTGTGGGCGGGTCTGTCTGTGGTATCTCTGTGTGTGTATACCTGGGTGTGTGGGCGGGTCTGTCTGTGGTGTCTCTGTGCGTGTACACCTGGGTGTGTGGGCGGGTCTGTCTGTGGTGTCTCTGTGCGTGTATACCTGGGTGTGTGGGCGGGTCTGTCTGTGGTGTCTCTGTGTGTGTATAACTGGGTGTGTGGGTGGGTCTGTCTGTGGTGTCTCTGTGTGTGTACACCTGGGTGTGTGGGCGGGTCTGTCTGTGGTATCTCTGTGTGTGTATACCTGGGTGTGTGGGCGGGTCTGTCTGTGGTGTCTCTGTGCGTGTATACCTGGGTGTGTGGGCGGGTCTGTCTGTGGTGTCTCTGTGTGTGTATAACTGGGTGTGTGGGTGGGTCTGTATGTGGTGTCTCTGTGTGTGTACACCTGGGTGTGTGGGCGGGTCTGTCTGTGGTATCTCTGTGTGTGTATACCTGGGTGTGTGGGCGGGTCTGTCTGTGGTGTCTCTGTGCGTGTATACCTGGGTGTGTGGGCGGGTCTGTCTGTGGTGTCTCTGTGTGTGTATACCTGGGTGTGTGGGTGGGTCTGTCTGTGGTGTCTCTGTGTGTGTACACCTGGGTGTGTGGGCGGGTCTGTCTGTGGTATCTCTGTGTGTGTATACCTGGGTGTGTGGGCGGGTCTGTCTGTGGTATCTCTGTGTGTGTATACCTGGGTGTGTGGGCGGGTCTGTCTGTGGTGTCTCTGTGCGTGTATACCTGGGTGTGTGGGTGGGTCTGTCTGTGGTGTCTCTGTGCGTGTATACCTGGGTGTGTGGGTGGGTCTGTCTGTGGCAGCTCTGTGCGTGTACACCTGGGTGTGTGGGTGGGTCTGTCTGTGGTGTCTCTGTGCGTGTATACCTGGGTGTGTGGGCGGGTCTGTCTGTGGTATCTCTGTGTATGTATACCTGGGTGTGTGGGCGGGTCTGTCTGTGGTATCTCTGTGCGTGTACACCTGGGTGTGTGGGTGGGTCCTGTCTGTGGTAGCTCTGTGCGTGTATACCTGGGTGTTTGGGTGGGTTGCTTGCTGTGGTCTGGCTGTGCTTGGTGGCCCAGCTTCTCCCTTTATTAGGGGTATGGTCTTGGGTCAGTTTCTTTTTTTTTCTTTTTTGAGACAGAGTTTCACTCTTGTTACCCAGGCTGGAGTGCAATGGCGCGATCTCAGCTCACTGCAACCTCCGCCTCCTGGGTTCAGGCAATTCTCCTGCCTCAGCCTCTTGAGTAGCTGGGATTACAGGCATGCGCCACCATGCCCAGCTAATTTTTTGTATTTTTAGTAGAGACGGGGTTTCACCATGTTGACCAGGATGGTCTCCTTCTCTTGACCTCGTGATCCACCCGCCTCGGCCTCCCAAAGTGCTGGGATTACAGGCGTGAGCCACCGTGCCTGCCTTGGGTCTGTTTCTTAAGCTGCCTGAACCTTGATTTCCTCATCTGTCACAAGGGAATCATGGCACCAATGTCTGTGGGATGGCTGTGCAGATTGAGGCCACAGTAAATCATTTTTCAGCGTCTAGTTTTATAATATCTGAGCAGAGTCCAGGGCTCAGGCTCTGGCTGCAAGGCCTCTGTCAGCCCGCAGGCCTCCCCCAGATAATCTCTCCTCTCAGAACCCAGAGACAACGCAGATCCATGCAGCTTAAATTCAGTTAGATTCAGGAACACTTACTTTTTTTTTTTTCTTTTGAGACAGAACCTTGCTTTGTCACCTGGGCTGGAGAGCAGTGGCTCGATCTCAGCTCACTCCAAGCTCCGCCTCCCCGGTTCAAGTGATTCTCCTGCCTCAGCCTCCCGAGTAGCTGGGATTACAGGTGCCCACCACCACACCCAGCTAACTTTTGTGTTTTTAGTAGGGATGTGGTTTCACCATGTTGGTCAGGCTGGTCTCAAACTCTTGACCTTTTCATCCTCCTGCCTCTGCCTCCCAAAGTCCTGGGATTCCAGGTGTGAGCCACTGTGCCCGGCTTAATTTTGTATTTTTAGTAGAAATGGGTTTTCACCATGTTGGCCAGGCTGGTCTCGAACTCCTGACTTCAGGTGATCTGCCCACCTTGGCCTCCCAAAATGCTGGGATTACAGGCATGAGCCACGACGCCTGGCCATGAACATTTAATTTTGGCACAGCTTTTTTGTTAACATGTGTTGTATTTGAGCCAGGGACACAAACATTATAATTATTCCAACCGGAAGCTTCCAGTGGACTGAGGTTCCTCGCCTGACCGTGGCTGAGTGTGAAGGGCACTGCAGGGCCAGTCCCCAGTCAGCCCTTCCCACACGAGTCGCCCAGGGCCCTGGTGTCTCCAGGGAGCAGTTTTGTCTGGGTCTGATGTCTTCCACCTTCCCATTGCCTCACCCAGTCACTGCTGCAAACTTGCCAAATGCCCAGCCAGGGCCGCCCAGGGCCTGGGGATACCCTCCCCGCACCCACCATGGTGGGCTCCCTGTTTCTTATTACCTGCCTGGTGCTGGGAGTGGATTGCTTTCCATTATTTTAATGCCTCCGACTCCCTTTATCTTTGGCAATCTTCCTGGTTCCCGAGGGCATTTTGAAAATATTTGCGGAGTTAGCAGGTCCACTTAGCAGACAATTTCATGGCTTATCTCTATATGCATGTATGTATCTTACCTCATTCCAGAAAGAATTTAAGGCAGCTGGAACTCATATTCTAGCACTGTTCCCCCTGCATGCCCAGTTCGAGGAAGGCTGTAGAAGTGGGTGGATTTTTTGCACCTCACCCAGTGCAGTATCTTGGGAAGGCCGGGGGAGGAGGGTGGGGAGCGGTCAGCAGCACAGACCCTGGGGTCCCACGGCCTGGCCCTGCGTCCAGCCCCTACCGACCTCGACAGCTTGGAGCAAACAGATTCACCCTCTGGGTCTCGGTTTCCTCATCTGTGACATGGGAACTGGAGCAGCCTCCAGGGTTGTACGGGAGCATTGCACACGGCACACCTGCTGCCTGGCATCCCCGAGGCCGTGTTTCACAAGGGAAATGCGTGAGATTCCACCTGAAGTTCCACTCGGACTCAGCTCTCCGACACAGGCATGAGCCGTCCCGGGGGACAGCCCCAGATTGGGGCCTCTGTCAGATGCTGACTTACCCACTCAGCGGCTGAAGTCTGTCACTCCCCCTGAGCTTGGGTTTCTCATCTGACTGTGTTGTGATTTGGGGGTGCACAACCTCAATCTCAGGCAGGTGGTGTGTCTCATTTCAGACCACGGAATCTTCCCTGAAGCTGTGCCTCAGTGGAGCTGCTGCTTTTTTTTTTTTTTTTTTTTTTGAGACCGGTCTGGTTCTGTCGCCCAGGCTGGAGTGCAGTGGCGCGATCTCAGTTCACTGCAACCTCCACCTCACAGGGTCAAGTAATCCTCCCACCTCAGTCTCCCAAGTAGCTGGGGCTACAGGCACACGCTACCATGCCCAGCTAATCTTTTGCACATTTTGAGGAGATGAGGTTTTGCTATGTTACCCAGGCTGGTCTCGAACTCTAATCTCAAGCAATCCACCTACGTTGGCCTCCCGAAGTGCTGAGATTACAGGCATGAGCCACTGTGCCCCGCCTTTTTTGTGTGTGTGTGACGGTGTCACTCTGTCACTCAAGCCGGAGTGCAGTGATGCTGTCATACCTCACTCCGGCCTCAACCTCCTGGGCTCCAGTGGTCCGCCCAAGTAGCGAACGACAGGCGCATGCCACCATGCCAGGATAATCTTTTTATTTTTATGTATTTTTTGAGACAGAGTCACGCTCTGTTGCCCAAGTGGGAATGTAGTGGAATCATCTTGGGTCACTGCAGCCTCCACTACCTGGGTTCAGGCGATTCTGCTGCTGGGACTACGGGTGCTTGCCACCATGCCTGGCTCATTTTTGTGTTTGGTATTTTTAGTAGAGATGGGGTTTCATCATGTTCGTCAGGCTGGTCTTGAACTCCTGGTCTCAAGTGATCCACCCACCTCGGCCTCCCAAAGTAGTTTTTAAATTTTTTGTAGCCACAGGGTCTTACTATGTTGTCCGGGCTGGTCTTGAACTCCTGGCCCCTGGCAGTTCTCCCACCTCAGCCTCTCAAAGTGCCGGGATTATAGGTGTGAACACCACATTTGGCCTCCTCCTCATCTTTCTTCGCTCTCACTCGAAGCTGAGTTTCCCTGGGGCAGCCTCCTGTAGTGACCGGGATGGACTCTGTGGGACCCGCTGGCTGCTCTCCAGCGGTCATGACAGAGTGTGACTGCTGAATGAGGCATTGGGGGTCTGTCCGACCGCTGACCATCATCCTTCTGCGAGCAGGGGCTACGCTGCTCTTCCGGCACCTAGACCTGGGTGTCCTGCGTAGAGCCAGCTCGAGCTGGGCCTCATAGGTGGGCATCCACATGACTGAGCGGCTGGGCCTGCTGTGAGCTTTCTGGTGTTCCCACGGAGACTGGGGATGTGGTGTGTGTCCTTGAGGGTAGGTGGGGTGACAGCTGTGTTTGTTAGGGTCCCAGGGATGCTGACAAATTCCCTAACTCCCTCTTCTCTTACAGAACCTGCAACCATGGTGGTGCCACTAGCCAGTTCGGAAGCCCAGGTACTTTTTAAAAAATTCCAAATATTACTCGGTATGTATTAAAACGTACTTCCATCTTAAAATGTAAATAATAAAGCATGTATAGTTACACAGTTGCTTCAGGGAGGCGGGGCACAGATAAAATATCCAACAGGCTTAATTGCTGGGACTCGGTGAAGACACTGTTCAACACTGTTCACCGAGAGCAGACAGGGAGGAGACCACCAGGGTGGGGAGGGCCCCCGTGAGCTCCCGTGGGTGCCATCCCAGCCCCCCAGACACAGATCCTGGGTCAGGGAGAGAGGACTTCAGGTGCAAACAGGAAAATCAGCCTGATGACCAGTGCCCAGAAACCCCACCCCACCCACAACTGGAACCTCGCCTTCCTCCTCCCAGCCTGCCGGAAGTAATGTTCTCAACTTCATGTCTCGTCTCTTTGGTTTTCTTCATTTGTTTTTTTTTGCCTGTGTTCATTTTATTTTATTTTTTGATTGAGACAAGGGCTCACTGTGTTGCCCAGGCTGGGCTCAAGCCACCCTCCCGACGTGCCGGGATTACAGGTGTGAGCCACCGCGCCTGGCCTGTTTGTTTGCTTTTTGAGACAGAGTCGCACTCTGTTAATCCAGGCTGGAGTGCAGTGGCGTGATCTCGGCTCACTGCAGCCTCCACCTGCTAGGTTGAAGCAATCTTCCTGCCTCAGCCTCCCGAGCAGCTGCAACTACCGGCACGTGCCACCACGCTGGCTAATTTTTTCTATTTTTAGTAAAGACAGGGTTTCACCATGTTGTCCAGACTGGTCTCGAACTCCTGACCTTGTGATCTGCCCGCTGCAGCCTCCCAAAGTGCAGGGATTACAGGCGTGAGCCACCACCACGCCGGGCTTTTTCACCAGGCTGGAGTGCAGTGGCACGATCTCGGCTCACTGCAACCCCTGCCACTCGGGTTCAGGTGATTCTCCAGCCTCAGCCTCCTGAGTAGCTGGGACTATATGCATGCCCCACCACACACAGTTAATTTTCGTATTTTTAGTAGAGACCGGGTTTGCCATGTTGGCCAGGATGGTCTTGATCTCCTGACCTCGTGATCTGCCCTCTTCAGCCTCCCAGAGTGCTGGGATTACAGGCGTTGAGCCACTGCACCTGGCCTTTTTTTTTCTTATTTTTATTTTTATTTTATTTATTTATTTTTATTTTTTTGGGTTTTTTAGCACCTCTCCCAAAAAATTTATTTTATTTTATAAAGATGGGTTTTCACCATGATGGCCAGGCTGGTCTTGAACTCCTGACCTCAGGAGATCTACCCACCTCGGCCTCCCAAAATGCTAGTGTTACAGGTGTGAGCCACCATGCCCGGCCTCTCCCAAAATTGAATGTCAAGTTTGTTTTTTTTTTTTTAGATGGAGTTTCACTCTTGTTGCCCAGGCGGGAGTGCAGTGGCGTTATCTCGGCTCACTGCAGCCTGTGCCTCCCGGGTTCAAGGAATTCTCCTGCCTCAGCCTCCCAAGTATCTTCTGTCTTTTTTAAAACAGTTTTTCAGGCCCAAGTGAGATTGATTGTTTTTTTTTTTTAAGAAGAAAACAAAAGCATAGTTTTATCGGAATACCTGTTTATATATTATTAGAGATAGTGGTATACCCAGGGTGGGTGTGAGAGACCAAAAGAGGATATGTGGTCTGCTGCTGACACTTTAAAAGCAATCATAGAACCGGAGTCTATGTCACCACATGTAATGCTCGACAATTCAGTGGTGAGATGCCCTCCCACCTCGGAGAACCCTGGGGCGCTCGGACCTTCCACAGCATGCCGCTCAGGTTGCCTGGTAGCCCCGTGGAGATGCCACTGTGGTGTCCGTAGTTTCCTGGGACATGCGTGGGGCCGGTCTGTGTGGCTGTGTCGGCTTGTTCGTGATTCTGTCTTGCTGTTGCGTAATTTGCCGGATAGTTTACGTTTCTGAAGTACAGGACTCCAGGGCCGGGGGGCCGGCTGGCCTCGCTGTCCCGTCTCCAAAGAGAGGTGCAGCTGCCGCCTCCTGCCCGGAACTTTCCAAAGCAGGTCTGCTGTGGCACCTGTGAAACGTTTTACAGACAGCTGTGTATGCGGGGTGCAGCCTGGACCATTTGTCTGAGAGGCTGACCTTGTCCTCACATTATCCTTATCACCCTGTCCCCAGGAAAGAGGGCGGGGAACTTCTTAACGAGCTCATCTCAGTTCTCGCTCCCGGATTCCCCTTGCTTACTGGGCAGGTGCCCCGGACTGGCATTACTGCCCACCAGCTGCCCCAGGCCTGCACCTGCTATGGGCAGGTGGAGCTGGGAGGCCCTGACACTGGCTCCCCGCCCAGAATTTTCCTTATGGGAAAGCGAGTTTTTGCTGTTCAGAGAAAGTTTCCAGTGACCTGGGCACAAAAGAGCTTTTATGGAGGCAGCCATCAGATAAGAGGCACGGGTTGGAGTTAACCCTTTCGGCTCTGGCCAGGTAAAGGATGGAGTGGCCAGAGGGGTTGGGTGCTGCCGTGTGCAGCATGGGGGTTGGGGGCTTTGCTGCCTGCTCTCCTGTGTCACAGGTTAGAATCGGAGCCACACGACCAGGGACCCCAGGAGCTGAGGCCAGCCCCACCATTTTCTGATCCATAGCAGAAACGCACTTCTGCTACGCCCCCCTTCCTGGCATTGCCCTCTGGGGTCCAGAAAGGACTGCTCGGAAATTGCATTAACAGTGGCTCTGGCCGGTCGGCTTCCCGAAACCCTGCCGTCTGTTCGTCACTGTGCCCAGGAGGGGCCCTAAGATTCCTCTCTCAGGTCCCTGACCCCAGGGGACCCTGCTGTCACTGGTTGGGTGTGACCATTAGGCTATAGCTGCCCTGGCACCCTCTGACCTTGATTGCATGGCACGTCTTGCCCGTCTACAGCAGATATGAGATAACAGTGAGTCACAGGGTGGGCTGGGGCTGCACTGCCCCTGAACCCTTACACTAGCCAACAGTGCCCCTGCAGGTTCCAGAGCCTTATGTGGGGTTTCTGTAGGAGAGAGGAGGCAGGTTCCGGAGCCTTCTGTGGGGTTTCTGCAGGAGGGAGAGGGAGGTTCCGGAGCCTTCTGTGGGGTTTCTGCAAGATGGAGGAGGCAGGTTCCGGAGCCTTCTGTGGGGTTTCTGTAGGAGAGAGGAGGCAGGTTCCGGAGCCTTCTGTGGGGTTTCTGCAGGAGGGAGGAGGCAGGTTCCGGAGCCTTCTGTGGGGTTTCTGCAGGAGGGAGGAGGCAGGTTCCGGAGCCTTCTGTGGGGTTTCTGCAGGAGGGAGGAGGCAGGTTCCGGAGCCTTCTGTGGGGTTTCTGCAGGAGGGAGGAGGCAGGTTCCGGAGCCTTCTGTGGGGTTTCTGCAGGAGGGAGGAGGCAGGTTCCGGAGCCTTCTGTGGGGTTTCTGCAGGAGGGAGGAGGCAGGTTCCGGAGCCTTCTGTGGGGTTTCTGCAGGAGGGAGGAGGCAGGTTCCGGAGCCTTCTGTGGAGTTTCTGCAGGAGGGAGGAGGCAGGTACCAGAGCCTTCTGTGGGGTTTCTGCAGGATGGAGGAGGCAGGTTCCGGAGCCTTCTGTGGAGTTTATGCAGGAGGGAGGAGGCAGGTTCCGGAGCCTTCTGTGGGGTTTCTGCAGGAGGGAGGAGGCAGGTTCTGGAACCTTCTGTGGGGTTTGTACAGGACACAGGAGGCAGGTTCTGGAACCTTCTATGGGGTTTCTACAGGACACAGGAGGCAGGTTCTGGAACCTTCTGTGGGGTTTCTACAGGACACAGGAGGCAGGTTCTGGAGTCTTCTGTGGAGTTTCTACAGGACACAGGAGGCAGGTTCTGGAACCTTCTGTGGAGTTTCTACAGGACACAGGAGGCAGGTTCTGGAACCTTCTGTGGGGTTTCTACAGGACACAGGAGGCAGGTTCTGGAGTCTTCTGTGGAGTTTCTACAGGACACAGGAGGCAGGTTCTGGAACCTTCTATGGGGTTTCTACAGGACACAGGAGGCAGGTTCTGGAACCTTCTGTGGGGTTTCTACAGGACACAGGAGGCAGGTTCTGGAGTCTTCTGTGGAGTTTCTACAGGACACAGGAGGCAGGTTCTGGAACCTTCTGTGGGGTTTCTACAGGACACAGGAGGCAGGTTCTGGAACCTTCTGTGGGGTTTCTACAGGACACAGGAGGCAGGTTCTGGAACCTTCTGTGGGGTTTCTACAGGACACAGGAGGCAGGTTCTGGAACCTTCTGTGGGGTTTCTACAGGACACAGGAGGCAGGTTCTGGAACCTTCTGTGGGGTTTCTACAGGACACAGGAGGCAGGTTCTGGAGTCTTCTTTGGGGTTTATGCAGGATGCAGGATGGAGGAGGCAGGTTCTGGAACCTTCTGTGGGGTTTCTACAGGACACAGGAGGCAGGTTCTGGAACCTTCTGTGGGGTTTCTACAGGACACAGGAGGCTGTGTTCTCAGGTCTTGTCCCCAGCCTGACTTTCACCTGTTCTTCTGCCCGGCTCAGGCTCAGGTTACCCGGGTTTTCAGCGGGAAGTGGGGGTGGAGACTACACAGGAAATTAGAGGCCAAAAGGCCCCCCTGCAGGGCGGGAGGCAAGGTGGTCCGGCGAGGCAAGTGGTCTGAGGAAGTGGACAGTGCCTGGAGAAGGCGTGGCTCCATCTGCCAGGCTGTGGCCTCCCACCCTGGAAGCGTGGCACTGAGCTTACAGAGGGGTCATCAGCAGCCCCCCGCCCTGGTCCATTTTGGCCAGTTGAGACTGTGGTCAAGGGGCCCGACCTCTCTATGCCTCTGTCCCTGTACCTACATCAGTGTGGCTCGAGGTGAGGAGGGTACGTGGTGGGCAGGGCCCAGCACAGTGTCTGTCGTAAGGAGTGTTGGGGGTATATTTGTGTGTGTGGATCTTTCTTTCCTTGTCTTAAATTATGAGAACCCTTTAAGACATGGAACAGAGTGCTGTGCAGCGTATAAGTGTCCTTGTGATTATCACCGACCTCCTGTGTCTGGCAGTGCCACCCCTGCCTCCCCGCCCCAGAAGACCGGACCACCTGGGGGCCACCTGGGCCTATGGGCCCTGAAGTCCGCGCAGATGTTGGTGACCAGGGTGGCGTGTCAGCACCTCTCAGGTTACTCCACAGACTACTGGTGCCCCTTGTGGTCAACTTAGGGGTCCTTGCAAAGTAAAATCGAGAAATGCTGAGTTAAGAGATCTCTACTGTGAGGCTGCACTGATTTTTAATGTGCTTTTAAAAAGACTTATATTTTGAGAAGGAGTCTTGCTGTGTTGCCCAGGCTGGAGTCCAGTGGTGCGATCTCAGCTCATTGCAACCTGCTCCACCTGGGTTCAAGCGATTCTCCTGCCTTAGCCACTTGAGTAGCTGGAATTACAGGCACCGGCCACCACGCCTGGATAATTTTGTATTTTTAGTAGGTACGGGGTTTCACTGTGTTGGTCAGGCCGGTCTCGATCTGCCGTCCTCAGGTGATCTGCACGCCTCGGCCTCCCGAAGCGCTGGGAAGACAGGCGTGAGCACGCGCCCGGCAGATGGGCCTGTTTTCCACAGGGGCAGTGCCCTCTGCGAACAGCCTTTTCAACGGGTCTGTGCCTTGCTTGTGCCTCGGCCTCCTCTGCATGGGGGCTGCTGCCTCCCTGGCCGGGTGCGGGGCTCTCTGCACCTGCCGGCCGCCTTCTCCCCTCCCCGCCCAACTCCCCAGCCTGGCTCCCCCAACCCAGTGCCGCCCGGTGACCGCGCCCCTGTCCCGCAGACCGTGCAGTCCCTGGGCTTCGCCATCTACCGCGCGCTGGACTGGGGGCTGGACGAGAGCGAGGAGCGCGAACTCAGCCCGCAGCTGGAGCGGCTCATCGACCTCATGGCCAACAACGACAGCGACGACGGTGGCTGCGGCGCCGCCGACGAGGGCTACGGGGGCCCCGAGGAGGAGGAGGAGGCCGAGGGCGCCCCCCGCAGCGTGCGCACCTTCGCCCAGGCCATGCGGCTGTGCGCGGCGCGGCTGACCGACCCCCGGGGCGCGCAGGCACATTACCAGGCCGTGTGCCGCGCGCTCTTCGTGGAGACGCTGGAGCTGCGGGCCTTCCTGGCCCGGGTCCGCGAGGCCAAGGAGGTGAGCGGCGCGGGAGGCGGAGGAGGAGCCCGGAGGCCCAGCGTGGACGCGTGCTGGAGGGGCCGGGAAGGGCCCGGCGGGGCCGGCTCTTCGTGGACAGAGTCTGGTCCGCAGGGTGGCGGCTGCTTGCGTTCTGTATTCCCACAACCCTCACGCTTTCTTTCTTTTTCTTTTCTTTCTTTTTTTTTTTTTTTTTTTTTTTTTGGGACAGAGTCTTGCTCTGTCTCCAGGCTCCAGGCTGGAGTGCAATGGCGCGATCTCAGCTCACTGCAACCTCTCTCCTGGGTTCAAGCAATTCTCCTGCCTCAGCCTCCCAAGTAGCTGGGATTGCAGGCGTGCACCACCATGCCCAGCTAATTTTTTTGTATTTTTAGTAGAGACGGGGTTTCACCATGTTGACCAGGATGGTCTCGATCTCTTGACCTCGTGATCCACCCGCCTCGGCCTCCCAAAGTGCTGGGATTATAGGCGTGAGCCACCGCGCCCGGCCTGGATTTCTTTTTTTTTTAAATTAATCAATTTTTTTTTTTTTTTAATAAAGACGGGGTTTCATCATGTTGGTCAGGCTGGTCTTGAACTCCCTACGTCAGGTGATCTGCCCGCCTTGGCCTCCAAAGTGCTTGGATTACAGGCGTGAGCCACTCTGCCAGGCCTGGTCTGGATTTCTTGACCTCATGATCTGCCTGCCTCGGCCTCCCAAAGTGCTGGGATTATAGGCATGAGCCCCCCCCTTTTTTTTTTTTTTGAGACAAGGTCTCACTCTATTGCCCGGGCTGGAGGGCAGTAGCTCAATCTCGTTTCACTGCAACCTCCACCTCCCAGGTTCAAGCAATTCTCCCAGCTCAGCCTCCCAAGTAGCTGGGATTACACGCACACACCACCACATCTGGTAATATTTCACCATATTAGCCAAGCTGGTCGCAAACTCCTGACCTTAGGCGATCTGTCTGCCTTGGCCTTGGCCTCCCAAAATGCTGGGAGGCCAGCCTCACACTTGCTTCTTATCAGAGAAGTTAAGTGGTGGACCCAGCCCCTTCCCAACTGCTCTCTCCTGTTCCTCTAAGTTGTTACCTCTTCCCACACTCGTCCCCTCCCCCGACTTTTACATCTGCAGGAAGGCGCCCTTCCTCCTGCCTCCCCTCCAGCCTCTCCGGGGCCGCGTTCCTTCTGAAATAAGATGCCAAAGGTGGCCCTCTATGCTCTGGAACCACAGAGAGCCTCAGCAGCCCGCTTAGAGCTTTAGGTGGGGATGTGGGGATGGGCTGTTCAGGGACGAAACCTACTTGCTGGACCTGTGACAACCCTGCCTTGTCCTCCTGCCTCTTCCAGGCAGAGGAGCCATTTGACAGATGAGCATGTGCCAGCTCCGAGGCTGGGAACCTTCCCGGAGTCACAGAGCAAGAGTCGGGCTGTGCTCGGCTCCACGTGGCTCCCAAGCTGGAGCTGTCCTCGGGGCCTCCTGCCTCTCCGTGAACCCAGAGTTAGGAACAGCCATCCCTCCCTGACTCTCTCAGCCTCTCCCCGGGAGCGGTTGCTGCCCCGAGGGAGCCAGTGTGTTTCTGTGTCCTGGGGTCTCTGCACACCTGGGCTCTGCCTTGTCTCCTGTCAGCATCTCACAGAGAAGGCCAGGCCTTGGAGAGGCGGGATTCTCTCTTGCCTTAGAGGCGGAAGGTGTTTTTGACGTTAACTGCTGCTTGTCCCCCATTTCTCCCTGACCCTTTAAGGGGCTGTGTCTCTCCAACCAAGAAGGGTTCCTGGCCGGCTTCCCTGACCCTCTGAGCCTCAGCAGGTGGTCATCCCACTCCTCGGCTCCCTCAGCTCTTTTTTTCTTCTTTTCTCAGCACTATGTTGCTTAGGCTGGTCTCAAACTCTTGGGTTCGAGTGACCCTCCCACTTTGGCCTCTCAGAGGTTGGGACTTAGAGCAGAGGCAGCAGGTGTGGGCCTTCGTCCCAAGTTCTCAGCATAGAGCAATTACCAGACAGGCCCTCACCACAGTGCTGGATGCCGGGTGGCAGCCCAAGCTGCTTGGCCCCATCTGCAGCCCAAGCCTGTGCCAAGGTTGGACAGACAGCTCTCCTCCCACTACCCAGTCCCACAGCCCATCTTCCCTCCCCCACCCCGTTCTCTCTCTCCCTCCTCCTCTCCCTCTCCCTCCTCCTCTCCCTCCTCCTCTCCCTCTCCCTCTCCCTCCTCCTCTCCCTCCTCCTCTCCCTCTCCCTCCTCCTCTCCCTCTCCCTCCTCCTCTCCCTCTCCGCTCCTCCTGGCCCTCCTGGACATTCTTCCCCACAATTACCAGATGGTCCTCATGCTGTTGTGTCTCTGTCTCTGATCTCAGTCTGCTGCTCACATCAGTTTCTTACCCAGACAATGGAAGCTCTTTTTTTCTTCTTTTCTTAGAGACAGGGTCTCACTGTGTTGCTCAGGCTGGTCTCAAACTCTTGGGCTCAGGTGATCCTCTTACCTCGGCCTCCCAGAGTCCTGGGGTTATAGAAGCTCTTTAGGAGAATACCGCTCTATATGCAGGGAGCTGACCAGGGCAGTTTAATTGGTCGTGGGACCAGGTGAGAGAAGGGTGTCTCCATGGAGTATGGGTGTGTCTGCTGGAGCAGCAGCCAGGAGCAGCCTGTTCAGGAATAGGGACAGGTGTTCTGGGAAGGACAGCAGTGTCCCCTCCGTGCCCTTTGCCTGGGGCTGGCACACACGAGGCCTGTGGGTAGACTCGCACCTGGAGCATCTCAGGAAGTGTCCCAAAGCCATGTGGCAGGTACCTGGGGCAGAAACCAGGATGACCAGTTCTGTCTTGGTTGTGGGGGCTGTGTTGAAGGGCAGGTGCTTCTCTAGAGTTGGAACTTGGTGAGAGAAGGGGCTCTGTGCTACGAGATCACGTGCAACCAAGGCAGCAGGTGTGGGACCTTCTCCTCAAGTTCTCAGCATAGAGCAATTCCCAGACAGGCCCTCACTGCAGTGCTGGCACCTTGCCCAGCTCACAAAGTGCACACCATGGCTGCTTCCCTGGACTCCCTGGGCAACAGCTCGTCACCCACCACACAGCCACGTGGCCACGGTGCCACATGGTGCCACACGGTGTTGGGCTCTAGCCTGTCACTGCTCGGGAGAAGCCATCAGGGAAGGCTGACGGGACATCAGGTGCCCTATGTGGTTCCCAGGCTGATGACTCAGTTTCCCCAGATATCTTTGGGAGTCCTGAGGCCTGGACCAAATGCCCACTCTTCTCTTCTCCGGCTGGTTGAGTCGGAGCCCCCGTTGTGTGGCCGTGTCCCAGACAGACAGGGCACGTCCGGTGTCCACCATTCTGGCACCTGCCCTGGACTAACGAGCGTGTCTGGTCACAGATGCTGCAGAAGCTCCGGGAGGACGAGCCGCAGGTGGAGACGCCACAGGCTGAGCTTGACAGCTTGGGCCACACAGACTGGGTAAGACTCGCTCCCAGCTGACGGGGCAACCGACGCAGCCCAGCCCACCGAGGGTCTCTGCCTAGCGGGCCTGGGCTGAGAGTGTTCTCCTATCCCGGGTCCCAGGCCCGACTGTGGGTCCAGCTCATGCGGGAGCTCCGCCACGGAGTGAAGCTGAAGAAGGTGCAGGAGCAGGAGTTCAACCCCCTCCCCACCGAGTTCCAGCTCACGCCTTTCGAGATGCTGATGCAGGACATCCGGGCCCGGAATTACAAACTGCGCAAGGTCATGGTGAGCGGGCTGGGTGTGGGGGTGGCCTGGTGTGTAGGGTCATGGTGAGCGGGCTGGGTGTGGGGGGCGGCCTGGTGTGTAGGGTCATGGTGAGCGGGCTGGGTGTGGGGGGCGGCCTGGTGTGTAGGGTCATGGTGAGCGGGCTGGGTGTGGGGGGCGGCCTGGTGTGTAGGGTCATGGTGAGCAGGCTGGGTGTGGGGGGCGGCCTGGTGTGTAGGGTCATGGTGAGCGGGCTGGGTGTGGGGGGGCGGCCTGGTGTGTAGGGTCATGGTGAGCGGGCTGGGTGTGGGGGGCGGCCTGGTGTGTAGGGTCATGGTGAGCGGGCTGGGTGTGGGGGGTGGCCTGGTGTGTAGGGTCATGGTGAGCGGGCTGGGTGTGGGGGTGGCCTGGTGTGTAGGGTCATGGTGAATTAGGGCTGGGTGTGGGGGTGGCCTGGTGTGTAGGGTCATGGTGAGCGGGCTGGGTGTGGGGGTGGCCTGGTGTGTAGGGTCATGGTGAATTAGGGCTGGGTGTGGGGGTGGCCTGGTGTGTAGGGTCATGGTGAGCGGGCTGGGTGTGGGGGGCGGCCTGGTGTGTAGGGTCATGGTGAGCGGGCTGGGTGTGGGGGGCGGCCTGGTGTGTAAGGTCATGGTGAGCGGGCTGGGTGTGGGGGTGGCCTGGTGTGTAGGGTCATGGTGAATTAGGGCTGGGTGTGGGGGGTGGCCTGATGTGTAAGGTCATGGTGAGCGGGCTGGGTGTGGGGGTGGCCTGATGTGTAAGGTCATGGTGAGCGGGCTGGGTGTGGGGGGCGGCCTGGTGTGTAAGGTCATGGTGAGCGGGCTGGGTGTGGGGGGCGGCCTGGTGTGTAAGGTCATGGTGAGCGGGCTGGGTGTGGGGGTGGCCTGGTGTGTAGGGTCATGGTGAGCGGGCTGGGTGTGGGGGGCGGCCTGGTG